TGTATATACGCACTGTATATATGCACTGTATATATGCACTGTATATACATACTGTATATATGCACTGTATATACATACTGTATATATGCACTGTATATATGTATATATGTCCATGGATACCATGTGATTAAAAAGACTGTGGTTCATGTCCCATTATAAGTTTTCTTTACTTTTTTTTAATCTAACAGTGGTGAAATGACTTGATTTATTTAAATATGGAATAAGAACAACTACTTTTAAGCCATATTTATTCCAACCTGGAAACATTCAAGCAATGTGAAGAATAAACAGATTTACTGTATATTACTATTTTCTATCAACTTGTTGGTATCTTGAACTCCTAAATATTATGATTTTAATGTTATTGCCACCTCGTGTACAAATACAAGAATAGCGAGGCAATGACTACTGATGATCATCTGAGTTGGACTGAACCAACTCAAAGCTGTGAGAAAGTGGAGTTGGGGCTTTTGTCTTATTACTGGGAGTGATGGTAATAAAAAATGGGGGAGCAGCTGCTCCACATGCTCCATTAACATCAGTTTCAATATGATGCTAATTTTTACTTTCTTCTCAGCCTCGATCAATAAACATATATATTTTTTAACTTTCAATGAGAAATATAAAATATGTTTTTACACACATGAGCATTAATGTCCCGTCTGTCTGCAGCGTGACCGAGGAACGATAAGTTCAGCCTGAAGGTCTTTCTGCAGCTGCACTGAATCACAAAAACATGTTCGTTTTGGAGATACGAAAATTAATGATGTGTTCTTTCAAAGCCACAGTATTTTTGTTTTGCTAATATTTTATGCAGCGAAACAAATATTTTTTGGATTCTTCCAGAAGTCAAATCAACAACACGGGAAATGAAACGCAGATTAGAAGAAGTCTGGAAAAAATGAGCCCATTTTTCTTCTTTATAAACCTGATTAATCTGTTCGTGACCCGTCGGATTCCTCCTGTGATCCCGTACGTTAGGAGTGTTTCACACATGTGTCAGCGGAGATTACTTTTAAGGCTGATATCAGCAGTTGGCCTAATGATCAAAAACACACAAGAATTGGAAACAGGAAGGAAAGGAGTAGCCCGCCTCTGCTCAGAGGTAACACAAACCACCCGCTGCTGCACCCCGAGCGCCAACATGTTCGATTTTAGTTTTCCTCTGAAGCTGTGCTTCTTTTTAACTGCAGCATAATTTCTCATTGGAGATAAAACTCTGGCTCACAGAAATGTTCCTAATAGCACCTGTGTGTATTTGTACCTGTTTAGCTGCATGCAGTGACTGTTCTCCGAGCTTCATTTAGTTCACCGCGCTGCGTTTCGTCACATCCTGATTCGCATCAGTTGTTTCCAAAGTTTGAGCCAAAAGGCTCTAAATGTCTCTCCACCATTAACTGAGATGTTTAAAAATAATTAAACAAGGGGTACGCCAATGTCCCTCGTCACCGATGAATTTAAATGAGGAATGTTTGTGGAGAAGTGTTTTTCTGGACTGAAATCGAACAGGGAACTCAAGTAAACGTTAATGTTTTTGGTGCAAGCTCCTCTACTAAGTATTTGCTCTGTGTTGAAGCACAGAGGTTCCTTTTTCTCTTAGTGTGACTGTTTATGAAGCATTCCCACGTTGTGATCCCTTTTACTTCCAAATGTTTTTTCAGCATCTTTCTCGTACCACAGTTTTTGTGCTATTTCAACAAATCCATCCATCCTCTTTACCCGCTTATTCCATTTTGGGTCACGGGGGTCGCCGATGCCCATGTCCAGCAATCACTGTGCGAGGGGCGGGGTACACCCTGGACGGGTCTCCAGTCCATCACAGGGACACATAGAGACCAACAACCATTCACTCTCTCACTCTCACCTAGGGACAGTTTAGAGTTACCAATCAGCCTAACATGCATGTTTTTGGTCTGTGAGAGGAAACCGGAGTACCTTTTTCTAACATCTTTTTCCTAATTTAAGCTCGTTATGCTCCTTTCAGCTTATTTCAGCAAATTTAAGCTTTTCTGCTATTTCAGCTGTTATTTAGCCGTTTTATGCTAATTTGAGCTTTTCCCGCTAATTCCACTATTTTTGCACTCATTTAAACTTGCTCAGCCAAATTCAGCAAAAATATGCTCGCTCCACTTCCTTCTGGTAATTTAAGCTTCTTTCTGCTTTTTTAGATACTTTTCAGCTGTTTTTTTTTTTTTGCTTATTTGCTTTTCTTCAGATAATTTCCCACTTGCGTGCTCATTTCTGCTTCTTTCAGCCTAAATGGGCAAAATTGTGCACTCTCCACTTCCTTCTGCTAATTTAAGCTTGTTCCACTCTTTAAGCTAAGTTTTTAGCATTTTTAGCTAATTTCAGCTTATAAATTCAAGTTTTTCGTGTACTTTCTGCTACTTTCAGACTAATGAACTCCTTTATGCTAATTTCAGCTTGTTATGCTCCTTTCCGCTTAAATATGCTAGTTTCAGCTATTTCAGCTACTATTTGTGCTAATTTTAGCCTTTTCAGCTAATTCCACTTTTTGTTAGCTCATTTCAGCTCTTTCCACTTCCTTCTAGTTTATGCCTTTTTTCTGCCTTTAAGCTACTTTTTAATATGTATTTTTTAGCTAATTTCAACTTTTCCAAAGCTACTTTCCTAATTTTTCTGCTAATTTCTGAATATTTAAACCAGTTTCAGCAAATATGTGTTCCTTCTACTTTCTTCTGCTAATTTAGGCTTGTTCTACCATTTCAGCTACATTTCAGCATGTTTTTTTAAGCTAATTTCAGCTGTTTCTCAGCAAGGTCTTCAGCAATAAGCATTCACACTGAGTTTTTGTAGGAACTACAATTTATCTAGTTTAAATTTATTTATTTTTGCTTGTCTGAGGCAGCCCTCAGTGATGGCTGCTGATGAAAAGAGGGAACAATTTTATCCAACACCAGGTTCGATGGTGGAGCCAGGGGTGGCCTTGACCACCGTAGATCAATCTTCGGCTTTCCTAAGGGCCACCTCAATCAGTTGCGGAAACTCCATTTTAAGCAATATACAAACTAAAAAGCATAGTTTCTTCAAAGGATAGGGATGGCCCTTTACACATACACATCTTGGACTTTGACGTGGCAACCCAGTTTTTGATAGTCGTCTTTCTTACACCTAGATGTACCACGCACCAAAATGGAAGTCGGTACCGCACTTATTGTTCAAGTTATCCAACTCACAGGTTGGATGCACATTTATGGCAGCGGCCATCTTGGATTTAAATGTCTCTAACCATTTTTCCAAAGGGAACTTTCTTATACTTGGATGCAACCACAAACCAAAATGGAAGTCGGTACCTCACATATTTTTCCAGTTATCATTCTTACGACATGCATGGGCAGAGGTTATTGCCAATTACCC